CATATCGTATTCTGTCGACGCATCACGGCGAGTCACGTATATATAGGGGGGAAGGGGGAGGGGACTTACAACTAATTACACCAATGAGAGATGTCGTTTAAGATGTACGACCAAAATCTCTCCTTCTCGTCACTCGTGTTCACTTGTGTTTTTACACCGGTGGGAACACAACTGCATGAGAAACGATGGGGGGAGACTGAAACATCAAACTTGAAAGGAACTCTGTATATCTATGTTGTTTCTACGAGGTTTCAAAGACCTGTTTGAAATGAAAGCTTAATTAAATTCTATTCGAGGGGAACTTTCAAAAGCGATTCAGCGTATAATTAATGCCGTCAACTTTGAATAAGAGAGGCGGCAGCCACTGCTGTCCCACATTCCCCTCACTCGTGCATCCTAAATTCCTAGTTTCCCCTAATTGTATAGGAAAAGCATGAGGACGATGATACCCCATCGTCATGCGTAGCCTGAAACAGGTTGACGGTAATGGCGATACTCGAGTCGGTTACAATAACACATTGCACGCAAGAATTTTTCTTTCTCTATTTCTTTTCTCCACCGTGACCGTTCCGTAAATCCACGATTGACGGAACGCGGGAGTACCGCGCGTTAAGCCTTGAAGTCTGTAACCGGAGTCTCGGCTTGTTCGCTCGCGTCTCGAGTCTTGGGTTCCAGGACTCGCCAAGGATCTTTCTCTCTGTCTCTCTCTCTCTCTGCTTCCTTCTCTTATCTTCTTCGTCCGCGCGGTCGCAGCGAAGAAAAGGGGGACTTTGAGAGCGGTCCAGCAACTCCCCCAGAAAACGTGTGTGCGCACGCACGCATGAGAAACGTACGTTTCGTTGGTAATACTTCGACTAACGTTGGCTAGCGATGGGGACGACATGATATTCACTTGTTTGATCGATATCGATAGAATGCTCTGGTCGTCGTATTTCTAATGATAAATTTTTGCAGGTTATGTTCGACGAGATTCGAGTGTTTAGCAAGTGTGACCTTGAAACAACTTCGAACGGAAGAATCCTTGAATGAACTCACCAGACGATACTTAATCTATAACGGGTGTTTACATTGCATACTAATGAGCATCCAGACCGGATATTTTTAGATCCTATTTTAATTAAATCGGCCGCGTAAACATGATGCCTTGGAAATGAAATTCTTTTTCTTTTTAATTTGATAATTTCTCCTGGCATTATCTCAATGTGCTTGAAAATATACATCATTTCGTAATCTGCGTTTCTTCCCAATAAGCGATATCTTTGTAACAAATAGTATTTGTTAATATCTCATCAAACGACAAGAGCGTTCATTTTGGTTATATAACCTAGCATACATTTTCGATACGCATGGTTTAATTCGTATAGAAGGCTATTCTATATATTTAAATAGAAAAATAAATCAAGAAGGATAATAAATGTTCTAACCTAAATCACAGCATGTGACCACTGTCCATTCGCAATTAGCACATATACTTGACCTCTTAAATTTGTGTCCTCGAAATCGAGACTTAATTTGTAGGATAACCTCCTATCTCATGTATACTCATGTAAATTCTCTGTTGTTGGTCTCCCTCTAAATGAATTGATCAATTACTCCCTAAAAAATAATTTTATAATCATTTTTATAAATCTCCCTAAAAATGAATCGATCAATTACTTAAATTTAAATTAAAATAAGTGATAATCTTCGATGCATACGTTCTCTCCCCATATTGCAATTTCGAGCAAATTAACGCAAGAACGGTTTACTTCCATCGCTAGATTCACGCACACGACTTTCGCCCGCGAGACGCGCATCGAAAGGAACCACTGGCGGAGAGTGGAGGGAACGCGAAAAGCACGGCTGGTAGAAGTAAAGGGAGAAGGCCGCGTGGTGGAGGGAAGAAAAACGACTCTTGAGAAAGGGAGAGGGAGAGAGAGAGAGAGAGAAACGATATCCATTGAGAATTACGGTATTCGTGTAGTAGAGGAACGGACTGAGTATTGGAGGGGCTCATTAGAAACTCTAGGCAGTACGGCGTGGCGGCGCGCGCGTAATATTATTTCCTCGTGGAACGCAGGGGCTAAGGCTCTGATCAAATGCCGGGTACCGTTCGGGAAAGGATCGAAGTCCGCTCCAATTTCACGACGTGCAACGACGCCAGCGCCCCGTTATGATTGTTCGCTTCCAACAGAGAAACTTGCTGCGACCGCGGAGGGAAAAGGAAAATCTCCACCGGTCTCTGAGCTCCCTTGTGTACCGTACACGTACGCATGCGCGCGCGTCGTTTTCCAGCTGCCCGCCGAGCGACCTTTGCAAACGACCAGTTCTCCTCCGCGAGGAATTCTGACCTCGTAACAGAATGACTTTACGCATAGATCAGGTTAGATCATGGGAATAAAAAGATGCAGAATATCCTCAGGAAGAGGAAACGATGGCGGGGAAAGTACTAAAGCTACCTTTACGCAGGTATGAAGTTAGAACAATCAGAACTTTTTCTCGAAGCAAAATGAACAAATAGAATGTTCGACTGATCTGATTGGACATTTTCGTACTTAATAATGCAGAATTCATACGTGTATGGAAATACGCGACTAATCAAATTTACGAGCAACCATAACCTCTGAATTTATCCTAATTCTGCATGATTCTAGGTTCACACAGATGCAGATGTGATAACGCCTTTTGGGTGGTGGGGATGATGGTGGTGGAGACATCTTGGGGGAGAAATCGATATCGATTTTTTTACCGATGAAATCGAAATTTAAAATCCGCGATATAAAAGTGCGCGAAATTTAAAAACATTGCCATTACTTTCGACTGGGGTATTGATGCTCGAAGTAAAAGGACCTTTTTAAAAAGATAACTTGAAACAGTAAAAACTTTTAAATATTGTATACCTGATATACGTACAATAATAAAAATAATAAAAAGCGATTAAACGATGTAGAGAAAAATTTCTTTGAAATTAGTAATCGTGATATAAATAATGTACGTGCACGTCATCATTTAAGGATTAGAAGGAAAAAATTCTTGAGAGATGAGACAGAAAACGTTTTAATCTTACTTTTAAAAGGCTTAAAAGACATAATCCATCTTAATAATATAATTGCTTGTTATTTTCCTCGAACTTCAGACCTTTTGAAAAATACCGATGAATCGGACCAAAGGATTGGTATTCTTTCAATTAATAGACAGAAGAAAAGAATAAAAGAAAAGTAATTATTTTTGTATACGACATGTCTAACAGGAGTCTAACAAATACACCATACAACCAAACATGGTAAGACAAAGGAAGGACGCGTATTCGAAAAAGGCGAATTTAAATAAATGCGACACTCGTCATGGCTAATCTCGAAAAGATCAAGGATAACCTTTCGGCCAGTGCGACGAGTTCGCAAAGATTCCAGTGTTATGACGAAAGAAAGCGTCAAAGGGGCAAGGACTTTCGTACGCGAGACGACTTTTTCTGTCGTTGAAGTGGATTAGTAGATTCTCTGCGTTACACGAAATATTCCCACGTGACCCATCGACCTTTTCGCGCGTAAACTTTCTGTTTGCCGACACACATTTCGAGGACAATAAACAAACTGGAAGTCCGTAATATAATAGTGAATTATCGCCTCTATCGTTCGTCGTACGAAATTTCTAAAATGCGCATTGTCGGCGTATATATGTATAAATCGAACGGTACGTTGTTCGATCAGACCGTTCGATCAATTACACAAACGGATAGGTAAATAATGGAGAGATCTCTCAACTGTATACATACGTACTTTTCGACGTGTGTACGAAGCTTATCCAAAACCTGGAGCAAAAGCACCTGGGAATTCCGTGAGAACGCACTTGTGTCAAACACACTTTCCAAGCACACTGTATCCACTAGAATGCGTACACCTGGGTGTTTGGTCCGTCGAGTTGTTGAAAGGTTTCATAAACACACACGCGCACACGGTACAAAACTGAGAAACGCACACCTCAACTTCGTACTGGCGGTAGCGTGTCGCGCGAACCGTACCGAGGTCTGCGCCAATGCGTTTGCGGCTTCTAACTCCGAGCGTTTCTTCGGCGGTTCCCGCCTCCCACCCCTGCGCGCTCCGCAAGTTCCTTCACGAGTGCCCCACCAGGTCATTTTGTGTGGACCGGCGACGCTCCGATGCAATCATTGAACGAGTCTTGCCATCTAGGAACACATCGTGACACTACGTTTAATCTCTGATAACTGGTCATCGTCTCGCAACGATATTACAATTCAAATTTTTGAATCTGTACTTATTATTATTGATAAGTCGAAGCTTGAAACGGGCTCGAAAATAACTGTTATGAAGAATCTTTCATTAATATAAGATAAAAGACCAAAAAAATCTAGGATCGATATATAAAGGATGATATATCAGAAATTTCGATCTATCGCAGTTATTTCGATCTATATAAGTTATTAAGAATATCAGTTCTTTGCAATTGTGTTTCAAGGACCGAAATCAGTATCGTATTGTTTTCAAGCCCTGTAAAATAAATGAAAAATACATTACTGTATTACTAAAATTGGCGAAACATTTGAAAACGAACATGAAGCATTTTTTGTAAAATTCTGGATCTAAATTTTCGAGTTGCCAAAAATTCTTCTCGCAAACATTGTTCTTATATAAAATGAAGCTATGTGCAAAATTTCAGCCGACTCGGATTTGACAATGTTTTCGGAACAACACGTAGCATAAAATTCGCAGTGATGTCAAATAAAGTGAAAAACAAAGAAATTAAAATTTTGAAAAGTTCCTTTTTTTACTTTCCATATTTGCTGCAAAAGTGTGTAACTTTTTGTTTTAATTATCAGTAATTACCTGTTTTATGGTCGATGGTTTTATAATGATTTTACATAAAATTCAGAAATCTGAAAACAGTCTTTTTGTGACAAAGTAAAGTCAAGAATGGATGTATGAATAGTGTATAAATTATCGTTTATTCACAAAATATAACTCAAATACATCAAAAAATAATCGGAATCAAAGTAGAAGTCGTTCTTTATTATTCCCTACTATTCACGCCCTATTCCCTATTTATTACATAGTTTCAACATTTCTGTTGGCAACACTGCTTGTAACCAAAATACACTAATGGTATTGGATCACAAACCTATCACTTGTATATTTTTTCGTTAATTCTAAGTTAAATGTAAATATATACAATGGCTGGTATAGAAATATTTAATAGCATTTTAAGTATTGTTGATAATAATACTAAAAAACCTGAACAATTTTTAACGTAAGTACATTCTCAATATTCTTCGTTTCTAACCTGTGTCTAATAACCTACGTATGACAATAAAAATAATTTTGTTTACAGCGTGCAAAACGGTGTTGCTCTGGATTTTAAAAATTCCTTAAAGCATTTATATGACTTCACGAAACGTGAATCACAAAGAAACACGAATGCTTTGCCGGAGCTTGTTACAGAAGGTTTTGACGAAGAGCAGATTTGGCAGCAAATTGAATTACAAAATGAGGGTGAACTTGACCACTTAATTAGTGGTGTTTCTAAACTACTAGCCAAAACCAAAGCATTCAAGCTACCAGTCAGTACAACTAAATTGAAATCTGTACCTGAACAAAATGAAGATCTACCAGAGGATACAGAGAAAATTATTAAAGAAGAAACTGATGACGATGAAGAAGAACTAAAGAGTACTTCAAAACACCAGAAAAATTTAAAGAGAAGAAGAAAGAAATCATCTATAGTGGATGATAAATTTTTTAAATTAGAAGAGTTAGACGAATACTTAACAAAAGAAGAAAGGAAAGAAAAACAGAACGAAGTAAGGAACGAAGAAGATTCTGACAATGAATCCGTAGATTTGTTCAATGATTTTTCTGATGATAATGATGACAAAACTGAGAAGGCAGAACTATTGAAGTACGCAGATTTCTTCGATAGTCCAGAGAGTGAAGGTGAAGAATCTAATAATTCCATACAACACAAACACAACGAAAGATCTGACGATAATGAATCACTAGATAATGATAGTGATTTGGATAATGAAATGGATATAGATAGTGAAATAGAAAATCAAAAGACTTCCAAGAAAAAGGTTACGTTTAACCTTACAAATGACTCTGATGAGTCAGATAGTTTAGAAAATAAGAATATGAAGTTGAAAGAAGATACAGAAGTTAAGTCTTCTTTAGAAATGCGGCAAGAGAGATTAAAAACAAAGATTGAAAAGCTGGAAGAGGAAGCTATAAGAGACAAACCTTGGCAACTGAAAGGTGAAATCAGTGGAACAAGCAGGCCACAAAATTCTTTGCTGGAGGAATTTGTAGAATTTGATATTACAACCAGACCTGCCCCTGTAATTACTGAACAAACAACATTAAAACTAGAAGATATAATTAAACAAAGAATCAAAGATAAAGCTTGGGATGATGTTGAGAAGAAGTTTAAACCAGTTGAGACTCCATTGGAATATAAGAAGAAATTGATCTTGAATCAGGAAAAAAGTAAAGAAAGTTTATCTCAGATATACGAAAATGAGTACCTTAGACAGAAGGAAGCATTAAATCCAGATAACAATGAGAAAGAAGAGGAAGAACCAAAATTGCATATGGAAATTCGTGAAATGATGAACTCCTTGTTCTCTAAGTTGGATGCTTTGTCCAATTTCCACTTCACTCCAAGACAGGTAAGAAGATATTGTAATATTGAAAAAATTTTCCATTTTATAAACTTTTAGTTAGTCTATAATTAATATTACACATTTTTCAAGGCTAAACCAGAGATTAGAGTGGTTAATAATATGCCTGCAATCAACATGGAAGAAGTGGCTCCAGTTGGACTGAGTGATGCTGCTTTATTAGCACCAGAAGAAATTAAAGGTATATTGTCTACAACAAATTTCGCACGTTTAAAAAATTTTTTGTAATTACAGTATTTAATTATGATCTTTATTTCCTTTTTAAAAGCCAAACCACGAGGTGATGTGATTGGTAAGACGGAAAGAACCAAAACGGATATGAAACGAGAACGAAGACGTAAAAAGATGAGACAACGTTCTAGAAAAGAAGCCATGGAGCAGAAGGAGAAATTAAATTCGCTCAAACCAGGCGTTGCTAAGAAATACAAGAAAGAAAAGGCGCAAGAGTTGGCAAAGAAATTGAGCAAAAATCGAAATATCATAAAAATGGATGACTCGAGTTTCAAAGCTCCAAAGTCGTCTACAGCTTTCTTTAATCAACTACAAGATGAAGTGAAGAGTCACATTAAAGCAAAGATTGCAACAGATGACAAGAAGAAACAAAAAAATGTTTTATCTGCGATAAAATTAAAGTTATAATTTTTGTACAAAGTTATTTAAATACAAGTTAAAAATGTTGTATAATTAACATTTGATTTCTAGCCTGCCCCTAAGATTCATTTTACTTTCGTTTTACTTTCACTCAATAGAATAATAAGAAAGGAATTTCAAATAATAGAGGAGAAAGGATCATAGAATGCTTCAGAAATATGTTTCGAAGTTTAATCAGTTATTTGCGTTATACATATTGATGCCTTCGTCGACTTCAATATGTTAATTATTGTCAATAATCGTAGCTACTTTCGACAAAGGATGATTAAAAAGAATTATACGTGTAATGTAAATTTTTATATATATTAGTGACAAATGTTCCCAATTCATCATGATATGCTGCAACTGTTCCTTTGATCTACTTAATAAGAATTTGCTAGACATGTACATCTACAATGCACTAAATCACACGTGGTTATTTATAAATGCAATTATGTTTTCGTATGTGTAACGTTATCTATATTTTTCTTTAGAAATATCTAAAAATGGTGTTTCTGCTTTTTTGTTTTGCACAGAGAAGCAAAGTGGATTATATAATTTTTTTTTTGTACATCACTGTTGTTGAGTTCAAACAATGCTTTCCTTTCAGCGTCGATTTTGACGATTGCACTATTTATAATTACAAAGATCTAAATTAAAATAATTAAGCTAACCTTAGAAATCTAACGATAAGCTTGTATTAAAATTACCGTAATTTATGTGAATTTGATTGAGAAGTTTCTTTTAAAAAATACTTTGTTTCACTTTTTCTTTTTTCACCTTATCGTTTAAAATGCATCTCTTTGAACGTTCATCGAAGTGCGCTAGTTTCTTTGAAACAAAACCGCTACTACGTAAAAAAGGAGAGAAATCACTCCTTATTACTTATTAATAAGCACAGATGAGGCGTTAAAATTCTATAAAAATGTAAAGTGATAATAACCGTACAAAATACATGCAGTTCCATGCACAATAAACGTGTTCGTTTGGAATCTTAATGAAGCGTTACTTTTCCTCGAACAATTACAAATCTTACACACATTTTTGTTTCTTTTCTTTTTTATCCAAAATTTTATACATATACTTACATCCATTTAACAATATTCTCGATAAAGTTCTAGTTTTTCCTATTACCATACCGTCCTTGAAATGTCATGTACAATTTAAATATAACTTACGCTACTATATTTGCGTTCTTTTTTTAAAACAGTGGAGGAGAATTCATTTCCTAACTTGCACTGCTTTCATCAAAACTACTTCCTCTAAATTCAGATCAACAGAAGGAAATGATCATCCACTAAATACAACTTAACCTACACTTGAGTTGTAAAAAGCAAGAAAAAAGAAGAAAAAAAAAAAAGAAAAAAGAAACTTAAAATTATGAATTATAATTCCTTTTCGAAAGATCCATCTGTGTTACTTGTCAAATGTTAAAACCTGCATCTCGTCAACTGATCCATCTGTGCGTATTATAAGTTCCCACTTTCCGTATTTTGTTTTTTTTTTTTTTTTCTCCAACGTGATATTTAATGGCACTTTCGCAAAACGAATTCCGAATAATTTATCGCGCAAGCTATCGTACGATCGTTAAAATCGTTAACTACAACAGAATAGTTCTAGCGGAATGGAAGCGCTGACAAATCAATCTGTGTAAGTCAGGTAAATCTCTATCGTAAAGTTAGTCAATTTGGTTGAAATTTACGCGTGAGGTGCTGACTGGCGAACTCTCGTTATCATAATTGAATGCTCAAGTAAAAGTGTGATTTACGATACTTGGAACAAACTCCAATTAAATGAAACTCGAATACTAAAGCTTCCTTAAGATAGACGTTTATCGGCCATGCTGTTTTCTTGTCGCTACTCGAAATTAGTATTGAACATATTTAACTCCTCGAAACCGGACGCTCCACCCTGATCTTGCAACATTTGTAACATATCTGACAATTCTTGTGGCTGTGTGCCGGGTCCACCTTGCGAAGGATGTGGTTGTTGTGCTTGTCCAGCCACCTGAGGATTTGATTGTCCGCCATCTTGCTGAGGCGCCTGATGTTGTTGGCTTTGCCATCCCCACATGCCTATAATAATTGCCAATTATTTATCTTCCTGTTTTGTCATTGATTTAAAGTTAGTGATTAAATAAAATAAGTATTATAAACATTAGATTACTTATTAGAGTACTAGATTAAAACTGAGCCTACCGGGGTTATTAGGTACAGTTGTGACTGCATGATATTGCGTGGCTGGTGTCCTAGCACCGCTACTTAATTGAGTATATGTTGGTCCATTCGGCGACCTCGAAGGACTTAATTGATTGTACTGGTATCCTTCTGTCACAGGTTGCTAACACAGTAAGCAATGTTATAACTTGACTTTCATGAAACGTTTTCTAAGATTAAGTACAGGTTTATTTTTATACATTTACCTGTCTTCCAATAGCCCACCCTTGTTGCACTGGAGTTGGCGATGTGTTAGCTGGTTTTTGAATTCTGCTTAAAACAGAAGAAGACGCACTTTGTTGGCCAGGGGAACCATAAGCTATAGGCGATTGCGTCGTTTCGTATCCCTGATAAACGTTTTGCGTACTGGACGGCCTAGGTTGTTGAGGGCCTAATGAATTAATTTATGATTATATCGATACATTTTAAATATAACTTTAAATATAAAGAAATTAATTAAAATTAATGATTCAAGTTAATAGTCTACCAGCTGTAGCGACAGTCGCTGGATGCTGCATCATATGGTGCCCAGAATAAAGAGGATCTCTGGTAGGATGTCTCTGCAGGGAATAATCAAGGCCAGGTTGTCCATAAGCAGGTACAGCTTCATTTTCTGTCTGACCATCACTACTAGGATGGAATGACCTTCGAAATATCAGAACGAACGTGCGTTTAAAGTTGTACATAAAGATAGAAATAAGGAAGAAGTAAAAAAAGAAATTGGAACGTTAAGATTCAAAAATACATTTGCACGATACAAAATAAGTGAATTAAATACGGTCCAGTGTCGATTCATACTTGGCATGTGTATTCGTGCAGACAATGTATTCAACGTCGTCATTGTACGGGTTTAAAAATGCAAATGCGGACGTTCTTAACCACACCCAGTCACGATTTTTGGCTCGAAATCTGTATATTACAGACACCACCTGTCCTTTCATCTTTAGCACTGCAACAACAGGCGTCCATTAACAATAAGGAACACGAATATGGATGGTTTCTCTCAGTCTTAAGAGGCATCACCTTGCTCGAAACTTTCTCGCATATGCGTCAAATCCTCCGGATGGAAGAATTCGTAGCACGGATGACCTAAGAGCTCGGACGGTGTGTACCCTAGAATTCCACCGACTCTTTGGTCCACAAAGGTGAATTTACCTTCTGCCGAATGACGTGAAATAAATTCTGAAATAAAGGAGAGGCAGATGAAACGAATTCCCCCGACACTGTGAATTTCAAAAGTCTGGTAATATTATTTGAATGAATACTAACCATTATTGCTATTGGAACCTGCTAAATCGCTACTATTTGGTGTACTAGTAACCTGTAGTCGCCCAATGGCAACCAGGCAGCAGTGAGTGCTGACGTTGTCATCTGTGACCACCCCGTCAGGTCCGACTTGAACACCGGCAGCCTCCCTGTCAGTTAATCCCATACCTGGTACACATGGGGGAACAAAATCACCTACAGCGTAAAACGACGAGTCAGTCCATGGTTCCTCATAATCCAAAAATTGATTATGATTTACATGCTGCTAGATACAACTTCCAAGATGGATAGAGTATTTAGAATATATCATTATACTTGCAATGTGGCCATGCATTTTAGTTTAGAATTTTTGTCAACTTCCATCCAGCTTAAAATTACTTTAATTCTTCTTTTGGAGTTATTTCTTTGTTTAACATGTTTTCTCATCAGATATCGTTTTAAATCTTGGCTTCTTTGAACTTTGAATTTTAAATTATAATGCGTAAATTATAATACATAATATTGATTAGTAAATTTTGAAATTTCGAATTCCAGCATTGGTACTGGAAAGCTCATTCAGACAATACAGAAATACACATGCAACATTCTATGAATCACAGCTGAGCATGACGTGATTCTAAAAACGAAATCACTCGTGCATAAGAGACATTGTATGTCGCCAGATAACGTTATCGCTTGCACATGAGTAACGTGCCAGAGAACGTGTTAATTACAAAGATTACAATTACAAGCGTCTTCCCTTGGGGGGCACTCGATGGTAATAAAGGAGATTCTCAATAAATTTTACATATAAAAAATACATATTTATACGAGGAAACTCTTTTAAATGATATCTATCTCGCCAATTTCTGTTTGACGCCACTCGAAGAAATCCAAAACAAAACAAAAAAGTACGAAGTAACTTAAATTACTGGCGAAACGATTGAAAACCATTTAACATGAAAGGCGGAAATGCGCGAAAAAGGCATACAAATTTCGCATCGGGCCCCGTCTCGACATAGTTTATCAGTATTCCAGCCGGTTCTATCGGCTGTTAGGTCAAGACGATTCCATTCATTCTTTATAAACCGATCATATACTATCCGTGCTCGCCACCGAGTGCCGGCCTCCTTAATTTATAGTACAAACGTCGCTATCTTCGTCGCATTCTACGAAGTGGTCGGGTTCGTTCATATTCTTGCTGCACGCCGACTTGTCTCCCTCGCTTTAAAATAGAAAGTTGGCGCTATGTCTCGCGCGCAGCCATCTACAGGCCCCGTTATACGTCGATAGCAACGTACATCATCATCATCATCATCATTATCATCGTCATCGTCATCGTCGTCGTGATGAATCGGCGAGAAGCAACATTGATTAGTTGATATCAATGTGAAGCACTCACCATTTGGTGGCCAGCTTTTGATGTACCCTGTACAATGAACCACAGCGTAATTTTGACCGTCGCGAGCTGGAGGACCGAGTGAATTCCTCTGTTTCACGTGGTGGAGGCCATGCGCGGCAGCCATGTCGCCAGTCGTCTGCATGTTCCCAACCTTCATGCGACATATGAAGCCTCTCCTCGAGCCCATGCACAGTCTCATCGACGCTGAGGATGTTAATCGACAGTTGATTTATTTCTATTCCAATGATGATTATCATCATCATCATCATCATCATCATTATTATTATTATTATTATTATTATTATAATTCGTTAACTTTTGCTCCAATAAAGATTGATAAGACTACTGTAAGACTACTGTGGTCCAAGTTATTATTATTATTATTTGTTAACTTTTGTTCCAATAAAGATTGATATATCAATCATTATATGAATCACTAAGTAACTAATAAAACTATTGTAGTTCAAGTTATTATTATTACTATTATTATTATTATTATTATTATTATAATTTGTTAACTTTTGTTCCAATAAAGATTGATTGATATATCAATCATTGTATGAACCACTAACTAGTAAGACTATTGTAGTCCAAGTTATTATTATTGTTATCATTTGTTAACTTTTGTTTCAATAAAGATTAATATATCAATCATTGCATGAACCACTAAGTAATTAGTAAGACTATTGTAGTCCAAGTTATTATTATTGTTATTATTTGTTAACTTTTGTTCCAATAAAGAGTGATATATGAATCATTACATGAACCACTGACTAAGTAACTAATAAGACTACTATAGTCCAAGTTGTTGTTATTACTATTATAATTTTTTAACTTTTGTTCCACTAA